TTGGACCTTGCCCATCGTTACCCAAATTTTTCAAGTCCTTGCTGGATCCTTCTCATTTCCTTCACCCCTTCCCTCCAACCACTAAACTATGCAACCCTGTGGTTTCGACATTTTTTGTTCACTCCAACTTGAAAGTACAGAAGTGTTTTTGTTAACTGGCAGAAGTAGAAACTGAATAGATGAAAGGAAATTCTTTTATCTGACATTTTCCTAATTTTCAAGATTTTTCTTTATTGATTATTACTTGAAGGTATTTAAAATACTACTTTGGTGTTTGTTTTTATTTTCTGTATATATATTTTTTTAGGTATAGCTACTGCTAACAAAGCTATTGAACAGAGGTTGGAAAGACTGCAGAAGTCTGCAGACTTGTATAAAAATCGACTGGGATTAGAAATTCGAAAAATTTATGGTAAGTGCTTTAATATAAATATGAGATTAGGTATGACATTTCTTAAATATAGGAGAATTTAAAGACTATTTGCAGCAAAAGTAATGACCACATTATTAACTAGAGAACAAATAGAAGTTATAAAAACTTTTTATCATCTTATCATCATTATTGGTGCTTTGCTTATTTAATATCATTTTAATAAAAATATTTTTGGCATTATGTCAATATACAAATAATTTTTGTTCTTTGTCCTTACTTGATTTTATATCATTGGCATTTTTCAAGCTGTTATTGCCTTCTTAACAGTAGTTTAAAATGATAGCATAGTAATTCTTTCTGTTAGCCTGTTGTGTTGTTGTTAGATGCTATTGAGTTGGATAAGACCCATAGCAGCCCTCTGAACAACAGATCTGAATCCTGTCCTGTTCTGTGCTGTCCTCACAGTGGCTGGCCCCCCAGGCCCATTGTTGCAGTCAATGTGTCAGTCCACCTGTTTGAGGATCTTCCTCTCTTCTATCCCTCCATCTGCCCAAGCATGATGTCCCTCTCTAGTGAAGAGCCTCTCATAGCAACATGCCCAAAGGATGTGAGACGATCATCATTAATCTTCCAACTATTGGCATGTCCATTGCTACTAACTGCATTTGGATTCTGGCAATTTTCAGTTTTAGAACTACTACAGGGCACATTGGCATCTCCACTTTTTTTTTTAATTATTTTCACAGAATTGTTAAAGGGACCTTACTGTCTTAAAGAATACGAATATTGTATGACTTACATGTATGTATATATATATATATATATATCAGTTTATAGCAAAGCCTCTTGTGTCAAGATTCTTCAAGGCTACCTCCAGGTTTGATGATCCTTTGTTGTTAAGTGCTGTATAGTCAACTACAATTCATAGCAACCTTATGAACAACAGATAGGAACCTTGCCCTATCCTTTGCCTTCCTCATCACCTCTAATATGCCCCAGCCCATTATTAAAGCTACTTGTCAGTCCATCTTGTTATGGGTTTCCTCTCTTTCTCTAACCCTTTACCTTTCCATCCATAGTATACTTTCCCAAGACCTGGCCCCTTTGACAACATTTGTCTTAAGTATTTAAGACAAAGTTTGACCATCTTTGCCTCTAAGGAGCACCCTAGTTGTACATCTTCTAAGATAGACTTATTTGTTCTTTTGACAGTTTGTAGGATATTCAGTACTCTTCACCAGCACCACAACTCAAAGGCATCTATTCTTCAGTCATCCTTAAGGAGGACTTGAAACCCAAACCCAACCCAGTGAGTTAATTCCAACACATAGCAGCCCTCTCTCTGGTTTCCAAAGCTGTAAATCTTTACAGAAGACTGGCCCATCTTTGTCCTGAGGAGCGGCTGGTGGATTCAAACTGCCTGCCATCCTTGAAGTTAGCAGCTTGACATATTAAGCACTAGCAACTAGGGCTCCTTTAGAAGGACGTAGGACTCATTATGTAGTGGTATTGCAGCAAAAAGATACAAGACAAAAGCAGAAAAAGTGTACAGGTGAAAACTAGGCAGAGGCTTCTTGTCCCCGTGGAGTCACACGGGAAGCCCTCAAATCCCACAGCACTGAAATGGGAGCATTGTCTATCAGGGCAGCTTAGCATCCCAGTGTAGTGGGTGTTTATTGTGGGCTAGCTCTGTAGGCACACCGCCTGCCAAGTACCCACATTCCAGGCTTGCAGAAGAAAAGCAGGCAGTCATTGTAAACCACATTATCCAGTTCAGGTCTAGTAAACTACCATTATCAGTCAAGGATGGTGGGAACATTCCCAACATCCAAGTTCCCAGATGTCAGCATTGCAGAAGAGTTACCCTTGCAGGCCTGATTGCATGTGCTTATAAATACCTGCTCCTAAAGTTGGCTCTTGATTGGTATTTGGAAACCCGGATTTTGTGAGGATCCCCAGTCTTCTAACTGATAAGAGTGCCTTAGTGGCCTCAAATGTTTACTCAAGCAATCTGTTTATCTTGAAGGCCTGTGTCCACACTGGGTGTCTGAAATGTTGTTAAATGCCAGGCAGAGCTGACTGTATGAGCACTCCTCAGTAAAAAACCTAGAAAAAAACATTATTACATACCCAAAGTATACCCAATTCAAACCATGGTCTTTTCAATCACTTGTTATACATCTGAAAGTGAACAATGGATAAGGATGACAGAAGAAGAATCACTGCGTTTAAGTTGTGGTGTTGGAGAAGAGTACTGAATATCCCATGATTTGCCAAAAGAACAAGCAGATATGTCTTGGAGAAAGTATAGCTAAGGGCAGGGAGGGTGAAACTTCATCTCACATACTTTGGGCATGTTGTTAGGAGGGGCTGTTCCTTGGAAAGGAACTTCAGACTTGGAAAGGTGGAGGGATAAAGAACAAAAGAAAGACTGTCAATGGTACGAGTGATCAGGATGGCACAGAGTAGGCTAGGATTCAGATCCGTTGTTCACCGGGTCACTATCCGAATGTATTTGACGCAGTGGCACCTAACAGTAACAACACCACAATCTTAAAACACACAAAACAAAACCTTTTGTGCCGAGTCCATGGCAAGCTTCTCTGGTTGCCACTATTTCATTTCACATGGGGGCAGTTGACCTGGGATAGCATTCTGGAAGCTTGTTGCCAGTTTTCTCTGAATTTTACCCCATGTATCTTTCCTTTGCTGATTTTACACTGTATCCTTTTGCTTTCATAAATTACAGCATGTGTACAATTGTATGCCAATTCCTGAGAGTCCTTAAGGATCCTTAACCTGTGGGCCCTTGTAGAGACCCCAGCCCACCAGTACAGGCCCACGCTTACAAGCAGGCCTCTGAGGATTTACCGTTGGCAGTCTCATGCTGCTGTGCTAACACTTTTCCACATATAACATTTACAGTGCATGAAAGTGCTCATTTTAGCATATGTTTGCTCGACTTGGGGTATGGTTTTATTTCTGTAGTTTTGTCAGTCAGCAAAGCACAAATAGAATTTTTTTAAAGATGTGTTCATGCATTTCTTTGATTCCTAGTGACCATTTTTTTGGTAGCTGCTTACCACTTATATTGCTTGCTTTCTTAAAAATTGCCTCTTTAAGTCCTCTTTAAGTCTTTTATCCATAGATCTATTGATCTTGGTGTTATCCCTATCACTTAAATGAGTTTTTAGTAAAAGATGCTTAGTTTTATTCTTCAACAGTTAGCTTTGACATTAAAAAATCATTTTTTATTTTAAAAGGGACCTTTGTCATAGGCATCAGAGTCAGGAAACAATATTTATGCAAGAATAAAAGTAAACATCGTTTGTTCTACCTAACTGGATATCTTATGAAATCTGTTTTCTTGGAAACTCAAATCTTTCATTCATGGAACAACTGGTAAAAATCAAACTTCCAGAGAGGCTAAGCCCTCAGGTAGTAGTGTAACTCCCTACAGACTACACCATGAGAGCTCAGTTTATGCAAAACATAAGCCATTAAAAACTCAGTTCTAATATATAAGGAACACAGTTCTAATATATATTAAATCACAAAATCCCCATAATTACAATTGGTTGTTTTCTTGGGGATTTTTTTCCATTTGTAAGATCGTGAAGACTAAGAAAAGTCCAGATAATCAACTCTGTTAGGAAAAACTAATACACAGTAGCTTTATGCTGAGTGAAATACCTCAGTCACAAAAGGACAAATGTTGCATAGTGCCACTTTGTAAAATGAGACTGACATCAGGGTTGCGGGGAAACTGGGAAAGGGGATAAATAATGTATTCTGCATTGAAACAAATGAGCGAGAGAACTCTTTAAAAGGGATATATGGTTAGATATTCTTGTCATGACAGGAGTCCAGAATGAATGTTGCGTAGTGGAGTGGACTTGGGAGGGATTGGGTACCAATAAAAGAATTTTACTTTTCAAAGAGAAGAGCAAATTGGGATAGGGAGGGGTGGGCAGGGAGAAAAGTGCAGCAACGAATGAATGGAAATCCAAAGTCTCTGTAAACTTTCATTAAAATTAATTTTAAAAAGAGATGAAACTCTCAAACAAAAAGTATAAATATGTATGTGTTTTCTTTCTAACAGCAGTTCTTTGACAGTCTGAGCCTGGATTGGGGGGAAGAAAAAAAAAATCCACCTGTTAAAGGAGTTGTTTGTTGAAGGAAAGCCAAACGAATTTTTTTTTAAATAAAACAGATGATTTTTTAATAACATGATAGATATATTCAATAAAAGTAATAGTTAGAATTGGTTTTAAAACGGTTTTCTTTTTTCTAGTTCCTCTTTAAAACATCTAGTATTACAAAGTCTCCTCTTTTCCAGGGGATAAATTGCAGTTTATATTCACTAATATCGACCCTAAGCATCCTGAGACCCCATTTATGTTTTCTCTGCAACTGAAAGAAGACAAAGAGTATGAAGGTACCTTTCTATCTAAAGCATTTACAGCCGATTTATGGGCGTAGATATGTGTATTATTCTATTAGTATGAACCAAGAAGAGAATTGAAATGTCTTTGTCTTTTTGTTTTACTTTCGCCGCTGCCCTTATACAGTCAGTTCTGATGGTCTAGTAGCAAGGAGTTTCCCTGCCAACCCAGAGGCAGGTAATTTGATTCCACCAAGTGCTCCACAGAAAAAGATGGGCAGTCTCTGTGCGATTCATTGCTTCTGTAACCTGCTAGAGGGTCAATTATGAGTTGATTCTGACTGGATAGTAAACAACATTGTCCTTAGAGGAATCCCTGGGTTATCCAAATGGTAAGCACTTGCTAACTAGCTGAAAGGTTGTGGGTCGACCCACCCAGGGGTGCCGTGGGAGACATGTTTGGTGATCTGTTTCCAAAAGGTCACATCACTGAAAATGAGGGAATAGTTGTACTCTGCACACATGAGGCGGCCCGAGTCAGAGCAGAATTGACTCCACAACTAACAACAGTTGCCCCTGTGAGTTCAGATTCACTCCCATCCAGTTGGTACCAACTCACAATGGGCCCTCCATCAGGTTTCAGAGGCTGCAGACGGCCATGGGAGGAGACTGTCCATCTCTAGTCCCAGGAGCCGCTGGTGGATTAGCAACACTGGGATGTGCAGTCTTGAAGTTAGTAACTCAGCTCCCATACACTGTGCCACCAGAGCTTTCCCGCCCTGTACAAGCAATCTTCCTAGGAATTTGGAAAAATTACTCACAACTGCTTACACCTGTGGGACCATCTTTAAGTACAAAAAAAAAAAGATTGACATTTAGGTGACATGCTCAATTGGCTCCCTAATATGACCTAGTAACTTAATCATTTCTCTCATGGAATTTTTTTTATTTTTTTTGGGGGGGGGCGGGGGGATCCACATACAAATGTTTATTTTCTTTTGATTTCTAGGTTATTTCTTCTAAGCTAATGAATGCTAAATTTTAAAAAGCAAACCCAGTAAAACGTCTTACCTAGCTTTTCAGGGCCCCCCCCCAAATTGAATATTTTTTTGTATTGCTACATAGGTTTTTTTTTATTTAATAGTGTATATTAAAAAAGAATCTCTACTATAAATTTTGAAGCAGATGTTCCTTGCTAATCTTTCTTTGTTGTTTTCATGGGCCTGGTTTTCTAAGCAGTCTTTACCAACAAGTAGAAATATTTTATAGCTGTTCTTCTTCCTCTTGGTAGAGGGCAAGATTGGTGGAGGACAAAGTTTGGTCATTCTTTTTCATTGACTATCCTTAATGAATACTTGATCCCAGTACATACCAGACGCTGTAACCATGTGTGAGGGCTGTGGTTATTTGTGCTTTGAGTCTTCTTTGAATAGTAAGCCCTATGACTACTTATCTTGGATTGGCCATTTTAATTTTTAAAATTTATCTTTTTGTCCTGAGCCTATTAGTCAGAAATTTAAAGTCATGAAATTTAAAATTTTGCAGAGAAAATGGATTTAACAGTTTAAAAAAAACATACCAAAAGAAGTTTAAATAAGGTATATGTCTAAAATACAGTAAGATATAGGTCTAAGATACAGTAAGGGAGCTTTGTAGCCTAGTGGATAAGGAATTACGCTGCTGACTCAAAGACATGAGGTCGGAATTTACCAGCGGCTTTGAGAGAGAAAGAAGCACAGTCTCTTCCTGTGCGGTTTACAGCCTCTGAAAACTCATTGGAGGGTCAGCTATGAGTCACTTCTGACTCAATGGCAATTAACAACAATAACATAATACAAAATGTATTAGACATGACTACTATTTATCAGTTAAGTATTTAAAGATTAGAAGAAGGAAATTTCAAAAAATTAGTTGTTATGTACAAGTTAGATGGAACTGACTCATCGCTGATCCTCTACTTGGTTTTTAGAAGCAGTAAATCATATGGGAGGAGATTGTCCATCTTTTTCACCACAGAGCAGCTGGTGGATTTGAACTGCCTGCCTTTGGGCTGGTAGTTCAATTTCTTGACACTAAGCCACCAGAGCTCCCTAATATTAGTTAAGATATGAAAATTATTTTGTACTCAAAATAGAATCAAAGTTCAATTGATGAACTCATTAGAACATTTAAACTAGAAATGCCTTTCTCCTACCCCCCCCCCTAAAAAAAAATCTTACTCACTTTGTCTTCATTTTTTTTCCTTCTAGTGTCAGATAGTTCTCCCCATCTTGAATGCCTGGCAGAATTTCAAGAAAAGTTAAGGAAAACCAATAATTTTTCAGCCTTTCTTGCCAATGTTCGGAAAGCTTTTACTGCTACTGTTTATAATTAATGCTTAAATAGTGTATAAAAGCTGTTTCTTTTCTTTTATCAAATGTCTCTTTTAACAAGAATTACCATTGTCTATCATCTGTCTATAGTCCTTTTATATTTTTTAAACATTTCTGTATGATGTATTAAGTTATTGTTATTAAACTCTTCTGAAAATTTATAAAGTGACATTTGTTCTTTTTAAAATGAAATATAATTAGCTTATTGTATGCTTTTTATTTTAATGACAGGCATGGATAGTTTATAGAAATGTTGTTGTTGTTTGGCTTTGACAAGCACTGTGGCATTTGGACAAGATCAAACTGCGAGGAGGGTAGAGAGAATAGTGCAACAATGAATGA